ACCTGGAATGGACTTCCTGAGGAAATACGTACTGCGGGTTCAGTAGCCATCTTTCGCTCCCCACTTGATAGGCTCCCACAGGTGATGAGTCTGCCACTCATCTAGGCACCGTCTATACTTTCTGGGCCAATGAAGACATTCTAAGACCTCTAAACGTGTAAAGTAAGGCTATCATAAATTCCAAATACCTTTCACCTCAATGCACCCACAAAGAGTGTTTGACTACTAGTTGATCAAGTTGGGTCGTACAGTTTAAAAAGTGCAAATTTATGGTCAGTGTTCCTTTTAAGTTTACCAACAAAGGCTACCTATCTAATAACTGGCGTGAACTTCCTGTGGGAAAAACAGAAGTTATTCTTATATGCATAGATTAAAGTTTACATATAGTCCGAGCGACTGTAAAAAGACAAGAACTTTTCTCCTCTCAGTTTGTTTTACGTGGCATTCGATTGTTCAGTTTCACCTTGCACTCTTTTCTTCTCTTTTCAGTATCAGTCTGACGAGAAAATCACCAGCATTAATTTGGCCAGAAGGTATCAACTTGCTGAAAATCCTACTTCGTACATAATATTGGAAAGTGATATTAGAATTCTTCATCTGACTTGCCTTCGACTTCCTGTTTCATTAACAACTTCGTGATCAACCCATCTGCCTACCAGCACCTTAAATTCTGCTACATACGAAACCTCAAGCACAATAACTGGTCTCCGTTTCTGGTCCATCACAAATGCAACGGAAATCTGGACAAACAATTAAATCCGAGAGATCACTTTACCTAACGGCAGCAGATCCATAATAATGCCATGCAACAGGCTTCTCTTGTGTTTCGTCTTGTATGAATCTATCTGACGGAAGTCAGTTAACAGCCAATGTATCTCCTTAACAATATTGCATACTTCAAAGTGAAATCTATGGAGTTTTACACACGTTTAAAATCCACCACTGTTCAACGATGGGTCTCCTAGTTTTTAAATATTTGCATCACAACAGATATTTTAAGCACTATCAATCTGAATTGCTGGAAAAGATAACAATCGAGGAGTGAGAAGTGCTTGAACTCAGCTATTTACCTGGATTAAATGATTGCATGGACACTTGCTCATTTCCGAAATCATTGGAGTGGGTAATTACTGGTCAACAAAGCCACGAATATAGGAATTGGTGTTAAAATAGACGTTTACCTGACGAGACACTGGATTTTGCAGACGGGTCACTCATGTCGACTGCTCATAACACAAACACCGAATATTGTGACATTTTGATGCCACGTTCGTGTGGAAAAAAGAATTGTGAGTTGGAATGATCTAAACTCAGAACGATGTGTATGTATTGTGAAGTGATGCATTTCTGCTCCTTTCATAACTTTAAGACAAGTTCTATCATGATAGCGTTCAATGTCCCCCTTCCGCACTGTTCAACACTGCTCAGATCCCCACAATTATCAACTTAGTGACGCCTGTAGACCGGCTTCTCCCATGTTAAATTCATAACCTAGGAATAAAATAATAATAATAATTCTAAACAAATTTTTGGATAACTACGTAGTTATCGACAGATAGAAAGCGCATATATTTATTCTCTTTATTTCACGCAATTTTCTTAAAATTTGGGCCACCCGTTCAACTTTTGACATTTCTGGAGGAGGATCTTGTAGTCCGTTGGGAATCGTTATCTGAATTTTACATTTCTAGTTGATTAGAAGCGACAGTTCTCAAATCCTGAGTAGAAATATCGATTACATTTCGATACAATCTATCGTGGTATTATGTGCGATCATAATCTGCCAATCAGATGAGAAAGAGACATCGAGATAGAGTTAGTTACCCCGGAGTTCGGGAAAATAGCATGCACGATAAAAATGTATGGCGAGTACATTGGAGATAAGGGGCCACATAGCCTAATATTGCTTTTGCTACAGAGTTTTAGACAGCCCGGCACCTTAGCAATAGAGAGGATGGGTGATTTTGACACAACAGTCCTTTTATTGCTCGCAAAAGCGGCATCATTGTATCACCAAAATCTCCCTCTGATCTAGTTCCGTTAATCAGGAGTCTGTGCTACTCCAACATACTGGAACAACTTGACAACTACAACTTCCTATTATACAGCCATGTTGGCTGTGCACCATGTAAGCGGGGATGTATATAAATGGGGCCAGTTGACAGTCTCCTAGTAATGAGGGAGCAAGTCTACTTCAAGACTCGAATGGGCCTCAGAAGCTGGGTCTCTCACCTGTACAGTGCACTGAATAAATTTCGCAACCGACGCTAACAATGAAGATGGGGCAGCAACGACCACGGTGCAAAAATGAAACTTCAGCGGGAGGAAAGTTGTGTTCTAAAAAGCATCTCACCCGACGTAAGTTCAATTATCACATGCCCAACGAAGTTTAATCTAATCTCTAGATGTCACAGCACTGTAAACACCTCTGTTTTTAGTCCTCGCACCACTTTAGACTTTCCCCGCATTATCTTGCGAAAACCCCAGCCTATCCTTGAACACTGACGAGGGAAAGAGTCGAAGAGTCAGAAGGCAGGCTTCCTCAAAACGTGTTGGTTGTAACGACAATTTTCACACATGTGGCCTGTTGGCAACTAAAGAATATGTTGGGTCAGTATCGCACGTTTATGATAAGACACATGCCTGTGGTTCACTAACGTTTACCCGAGGCGACAAATAATCCAAAGTTTGGCGCAGACCAGAAGAATCTCAAGTGGTTATCTCTTCATCGCGAGTCTCTTCCGTAGTCTCCATCAAGAAGAGTATTCGTTCGGACACAATAGGATCGTTCCACTGACCGTAACAGCTAAAAGCAGTTCAGTGGCGGTATAACGTCTACCATCCGCGAGGTCAATTACATCAGTTTAGCGGCACCCGTGGCTGGACATTATGGGAGGTAGGTGAGAGCAGAGAGGTCATGACTCACCCACCAAAAACCAAACCATAACAAGTGACAGTACGAATGTTTATTTTGAGTCAGACTCCATCACCTTCTTTTGCGTTTCCACGTTAAGTGGCAGCCTGATCGAGTGGGGGGGAAGTGTCCAAAAACAGTAGTGGGCTGCTGTATAATGTAAGCTGCAGGTTAGCGACACAGAGGCGAAGCCGTGAGGACTGCATAAAGGCGGCCGCTCCCCTTCATAGAAGCTTCTGTCAGAGAGAGTGACAGTGAGCTCGACAATGGAGGTTTGCTTCCTCACACGTTGGTCACCACCCGACCGTGCGGCATAGGAGATATGCAATATAGACAATGATCCTTGAGACAAACATCTCAAGCCCCATCTGGAAGGACCCGCGGGCATGACAACCTATGAAGTTTTAGAAATAACGGCTGGAAATCAGTGAATAAAATATACCCGTGATGTCTAGTAGGCAGCATTTGTAGGCATGGATGGGATTTAGTAGGGCAGCATCCCGCATTCCTCGTTTCTGAAAATGGTAGCACCTCCCGACTAGCAGCAATAAAATTACGATACCTGAACACAGTTCTGCAGTCATTTCCTCGCTGTCAGCAAAATGCTCTCCAAATGGCTACTCCTGAATCTGTCCGTCAGCGCTTGGCATGAAATCCTCGCATTTCCCTATCCCATATTTTAGCCGACCTAGAAGTGAAGCAGTCACACAAGAAATGGAACCGCGTTTGGTTCATTAGTGTCGGGAATTTGAAGGGCATCACGGAGAGCAAGCCTGGAACCGCTTCTTTCCCTACCATTCTCAAACGACCTAGATTGCTACTGCTCCATCTGTTGGCAGCTTCAAGAAGGGGTTGGACAGTTAAGCAGCGACGCACGGTTTGCGCCCATCCAACTGGGATGTGGACTCGGTACGACCAACCGTTACTGAACACTTGGTAAAACCAATATCTTTGAGAACTTGGCTCCACCTTGTACCTTCCTGTAGACGTCCCCTCCAGTTACCGTCCTCTACTAAGAGAATGACCATATTCCCATCCGTCCCACCATGTTATTTATCATTTTTCCTTCTGACTTTACACTGTCAAACTCTAACAAAAACCCTCCCTGTCACCTATTCCCCATAAACCTACCACTGTTTATTCTTCCGTGCCGTTTCCTTTTTCCCAATCTTTTTAATGTATATTATTCTTATTCCTTTTTTCCTTTTCTGTTTCTATCTTGTCTTCTTCCGCACTTTATCTCCCTTGATTTCTCTGCACATATCTTCCATCTCCTTTTTACAACCAGTCCAACCGATTGTTTGCTGGCACGACATTTGAGGAACCCATCTTCACCACAGTCCTCGGAAGAAAAAGCAGGCAAACAACGCTCCCTACAAATCCAACCAACACCCAACCACCCGTCGGGCTAGCCAGAGATATAGCAGCCTAGTGGGTAGACCTACTGCATTGGAATCCACCAAAGACCTGGGACCGTTCTGCAAGACCTGGAAGTGAGCGAGAAGAAATCAATCGTTTTACACTAGCTCGTTAAAAGATTTTGGACATTGGATTAGACACCTGATACTGAGATTAGGTCCGACTTCCTTCTCAAAGCAGACGTTCTGTGGTAAGTAGCAGATAATTCAGGAGGTCTCTTTAAAGGAAGGATAAATAAGCATGTTTGCAAGCGAAACCTTCCACTAACATTCATATTATACTACGAACTACTCTCAGATCTTACCTACCCACCTTTGAGCACCATCTCACTGCTTATTCCGTCTCTTCTTCTTTGGCTTCGATCTATTCCACTTATTTTTGGCCTTCTACAAAGTAAGAATCTACATGCAATTCACTAAGAGTGGAGACTATGCAGCTTCTTTAAAAACTTAGTCTACAAATAAGAATTAAAAACCGTACAGGAAGCAGTGACCACCCAAGAGCTAAAAGTAGATAAATGAAAAACTTCAAGTTCACTGAGGAGGTAAGACATTGAAGAAGCAGCAAAATATGAAGAAAAAATGGGTGAAAGTGACCAAGAACAATCTGTTTTTTCCAATCGACAAGATAAACGATGGTGTTTTAGTGATTGAAAAATTAAGGTCATAGGTAGTCCAACAATTAGAAATTATGCCGGTGACGTATAATTCGCGTAATCCTGGTTAGTGCACCTTTTCCATGTATTACTTTGTATGTTATTAGCTGTCAAACGGTTGATGAAGGAGGCACAGGAGCTGGCAGAGCCAACCGAGTTATACTTCGCCCAGCCACTTGAAGTCTGTTGATACATTTGAAAATATAGTTTCTAGGATAATCTCTTTGAGTGGCATTTTACCATAAGAGGTCCAGAAGACTCTGAATTCCAGGGAGGAATATACCATGGGAGAATCTTATTGCCTTCAGAATACCCAATGAAGCCTCCAAACATTGTGATACTAACTGTGAGTTGCTATTTTTCGTTCTGTGATTTTAATATATGAGTAGTTTGAATCAACTTCGTGTCACATGCTTTTTTATTTCTAGGTATGATAATAAAATGCTTCTTGCGAAGCCATAAACAACCTACTACTAGGGGATTGAACCGGTTAAAAGTTCATGTTATGTTAATAAGCCATCTATTGTGGAATAACTTTGTTAACAGCGGAGATCATCTGTGCATGATATTTTGATTTAACATGATGGCACTTCAAGACTTGTATATTTTGGTCAAGGTAAATGATGGTCCTCAGGAAGTAAAATAATATGACTGCTCGCAGGTAACTGCTATTTTAGGGATGGATGTAAAAGTGGCTAAATGAAACAAGCTACCTACATTTGTAATATAACATAAAATCTCACTTTAAAGCTGTGGATTGTTATAAATTGTTCTGTTTGTGACCCGTGTATATTCTCGCACGTGCGTCTCAGGTTTTTCTTAGTATGTCTCAAAAGAGGCACGAATCTCCTGGAGAAAGTTCAGAGGCGAGCCACAAAACAGGTTGTTGGGTTGCAACGAAAACCATATGAGGATAGACTGAAAAACCTAGGCCTATACTCTCTTAGCCACCGAAGGTTACGCGATGACTTGATAATAACTTACAAAATACTGAACAACCCAAGTCACCCGAACAAAGGATTACTACCGAATGGCCACTATAGTGATCCTCTTGGAAACCCTAAGGGAATTGCCCCCCAAAGGTCAAAAACTCATGTGCGTTCACAGTTCTTCTCTCTCCAGGTCTGCGGCCACTGAAGTGCATTACCGGCAGAAGTAGTCTCCGCCCCATCTGTTGAAAGCTCCAAGCAAAGGCTAGACAATCATGCAGAGACCCATAGTTTACCCACATGTAGCTGGAGTACGAACTAAGCAGAAGAAATCTACTGCTGTTACACCATTCCAACCGTTTTACCTCTACAACCAGCTTTCTTTCTACTGCAGCCATTTGAGCCCTTTTCATCACTTCCACTACCACCTTACCTACCTAAGTTCTTCATATCTTTGCACCCCTTTTCGCCTAACTCGGGTGTAAGTAGATTACTCCATTAATCCACTTTTCCTTTCCCTTTACTCACACAGATTTTCCTTTCAAAATTTCCTCTTCACTATCCCTAACTCTTTCTAACGACCAGTCCCAACAACTGTCTGGTAACTCGATATCTGAGGAAGCCAACTGTACCACAGTCCAAGGCGAACTAACCAACACTTAACCTCTTGTTCTGTATACCAGAGTGGCTGGATCTACTACATTGGAATCCGCCAAAGACCTAGAACCGTTCCGCAAGACCAAGAAGCGAGCAAGAAGAAATCAACTGGTTTACATAAGCTCGTTAAACAGATATTGGATATTGAATAGCTTCGGTTACTTTCAGTGAGAGTGCTTGCAGGGTTTAAGATGTATACATTAGCTGGTAATTTCGTTAATCCAATTATCTGTGGTGCTAATCAGCCGAACATCTACGACTTGAAGTACTGATTCTACGTGAATTTATGCTTTGTTTTGGGATGAGACTTACATACCTTAGTTGTGAATTTTGTGAAATCACCATACGTAAAGTAAGTATATTCAGCGTATCGTTTCCATCACTAAGATACTCCAAGCTTACACGTTATGCTTGTGATTTATTCTACTTCGTTCATGTACTTTTCCATATTCTTGAGGTTTTTAGTTGTTTTTTTTTATTGATTAGCACTTCATGCCAGTCATTAAATTGTTATTCAAACACCTGTACTAGCGGCTGGTTTTAGAATAGACATTTATCTAGTTCATTAGAAATTCAATTTTTAACCAGTAGATTTTAGAATCTTCGTCATCCCAAGATGTGCAGAAGTCTTTGTTTTCCATTTCAATGCTATCATAAAAACTACTTGCTTCTATTGAAAGGCCATCTGCTATCGGTTTCATTATGATTTCCAGTCTGCTTGCTACCACATGATAACGTTATCCGGCTCTTAAAAACTACGGATGAAGTAATTCGTCACACGGATGTTATTTTGTCTCCAATGGTTAGGATGTGTATGTAATAACTATAGTTTTTTGTAGTCTGAATGCAAACAACCTTATAAGAATCCAGTCATTCTGATAGTGTACGAGGTTCTTTATTCCGTGCGACAAAAGAATTTTCCTCCTTAACTGGGCTAATATAATAAATAATAATTGTACTGAACAGCCACATATACTCTCGTACACTGAAATATGAAACGCAGGTTGTGCATACTAATTATACAACGTAACTGCGCACATATCAGTCACTAAAGCAAATCCCGGAAGTTGAGTACCCAAACCAGTGACCCATAACTCCACCAGTGAACAGGCTTTACTGTCCTGCCAATATAATCCTATCCAACCTCAATGTCGTTATAAACAGATTCGTTCCCCTTTCCTACACATTGTTTTTTTCTTTTAGCCTAATGGACGTTTTGAAACACATCGAAAGATATGCTTAAGTATATCAGGATATCATCCAGAATCATGGAGACCATCATGGTCTATTCGTACTGCACTATTGGCAATTATTGGATTTATGCCTACTCATGGAGTAGGTGCAATAGGTTCACTTAATCAACCAAAAGAAGAACGCCAAATGTTAGCTCAAGTGTGAGTAATTATTCCATTTAATATCTCGTAAATTATGACTTGTTTTTATACTTTGTGTAAATGAGGAATTCTCTTATTTTGTCAATAAGTCTTTGGTCAGATCAAATCTTTCATTTCATTTCATCTAATCCTTTCACTAAGTTCTGATGTTTTTCAAATTTTCCCATTTTACACTAAACGGAACTCGTAGTTATGAGATACTTTAAATTCTTTAATTATAAATAAGTTTTTACTGCAGCATAATCAAAATAGTTTGTATCTGTAAAAGTATCCAAAATACAGGGTCACTATGATACAAAAATTGGTTTATAAATAGACTTTTAAATGCAAAGCAGCTGTAACATAGACTTCTAGTATCACAGTTGTTCCAGTATAGCTTACATATAATTCAATGAGCCATTACAGATACTTCTAATAGGATGTTTTGAAACAAGAGACCGTATTTGAGTTGAAGTTCTTAAAGAGAATATCAAAACCATATACTATCATCAAATTTGTTTTAACCAATAATTTTCCCATTGTTCTAGAAAGGAATTAGCCCTTTTGGAAGAATAATGGATAAATTCGTTTCACAAACATGATTTTCGAGTATCATGCTGTGATACATCCTCATGAGGTATTTAAGAAAGGAGAACAAGGTTAGCTGGTGAACAACATACTGAAAAGATTGTCGCTAACCGCTGGGATGCAAAAACTTGTTCTACACCTTGTGCTAGCTCACCTCTCACAGTTGCATTGCTTTGATCAACTTGACTACTTAGCCAACTCTAATAACCGGGTATATATCATAAACTGAGCAAGTAGTTTGTCAATTACCTATGAGTTTTACATTTTACGTCAATGGTATTGCCAGAAACTTTGGGTATTACTATGTGGTTTTCCATCCGGAAAGTTATCTGCCGAGAAATATGTTTTAGAAATGTATACTAGTTACATAAATTGAAAGGCATTCGACAAAACTTGTTTCATCTGTCGATAATCGTGCTCTTCTGCATTCCTTTCGCCTGGAGATTGAATAATGAGTTAAGGATTGAAAAATGCTAGTTTCTCACATCCAACTTTACAATAATTTTCGTGTGCAATGCAACTATTGCATAGTCCTAGTATATGATTTTTATCGTCTACTAGTATGATGCCTGAAGTACTTGTCCGCCCCGTCTGTCTGTTCATCCGACGGTACCACCTAGACTGACAGTACTAAAAATAATTTTATAGCACCGGGTTAAGTAGACTATTGAACTAAGGGATACTTTACTGTAAGCAAATAGAAACATCACGTTTTGAAGTGCTTCGTAGCCCCTTTTGACTCAAATAAAATATTGGATAAGATAAGAAAAGTGTGTAAATAGTTTAGACAGTTAATATAGTGTAGTTCAGCTTTCATTATGTATCTTTTTAGCATATATTTATTTTTCAATTAAAAGATTTGGGCTCATATCTTCCTAATTTGTGTGTCCTTATTTCCTGTTAATGTAAGATAATTTGAACCATCGTGCCCTAATATTGGTTCTTTATTTGACTTACTATTTCGTACAGTAAAGGTAATCAAACCTGAGTGCTATGTATATCTTCTTTGGTTCAACTTTATTTACTATTTATAGGATTTCTGAAATTGTGTCAGTGTGAATACTAATATTTTGGTAATCCGTTTTAATACACCCTTTATCATAAGCCTATTGAGTTTAGTATTTTCAATCTCTTAATCCCCTTACTTTTTCCCATTGAGCTTTTCCAACCTTATGTGATTGTATATCCTTGAGCTTATCATCATCCCTCTGGTCTAGTGATAACCATGCAGTATGTGTAGGGAACTGTTATCACTTACTACAGCGATAATGTAAGTGGTCACTTTTATTTTTCACTCAATCCCCTGACACATTAACTACCATTTATCTCATCCATGTTTAAGAGAGGTGGATAAAATCAACGTAGAACCTCGCACATAAGTGCATCAGCTCCAGTCACCACATTACACAGTAGTACACAAAATACAGGTAGATATTATTATTAGTAGAAGTACACAAACATGATACAGCCAGGATACCAAAAAATGCACCACATAAAATAGTATAATAACAGTGTGGAGATGTAAACGATGGGAAGTGGAAAAGTCAGAAAAAACACTGAGAATAGAATGATTAGGAGGGCACTTCTGTAAGGTACATTCAAAACAAAACACTCATTACTTTCCAGCAGTAGAAGATAGATGGAAGCTACAGTATGACCGCCACTGAGCTGCGTCATCTCCCGGACCCCACCCAGGGAGTCATGATGCACTAACATATGGTAACCCGATACAACTATCCTTCATCCTACGGCGCCACGTCACACACTGACCACCCCTCCGCTTCTTCTGTCTAATCCCAGGTTTAGCAAACAATGAACGGTGTAGAAACTGTTGGGACGCGATATACGTAATACATGTCTAAGCCACTGAAGCTCGTGTTTACGGATGACTTCACTTCTTGAACGACGATCTCTATCATACCCAAACACACACTGTCGTACCTCAGAATTACGTACATGTTGTTGCCACCGGATAGAAGCAATCCTGCGAAGATAAAACGATGACTGAACATAAATAGTCGTCGCACATCCTCAGCTCTAAAAGGACAAATTTCACAGACTTAGAGCTGAACTGCTCGCACCGAAGCATTGTAAATTCGGCCTTTTACGGACAGACTATCGTTGCAACGGCCCTGAAGGTGTCCTAGACTGGCCTACGCTACTCTAGATTTTAATATGAGGTCGGAAATTTCACCCTTAACGCCTTCACAGGTGGATAGAAAAAGACTAACAGCAAAGTAGATAAAGGTGTATACAAGAAAAGGGCGTTTAGATTTAGAAAACAACAAATAGTGAATACATCTGCCTTGTTGTGATCGATTTTTAGCCATTCCATTAAAATTCTCCAACCACCGATTCCTATCATTTCAGGTACCCCAGGCAGATAGTTTAAACCTTCATACACGGCTCATACCAACAGTTAAGGACTTCGTGCATTGATGTCACGCCTTGGTTTTCATGTTAAAACTGAGATATCACTCCATAGTTTACCTTTGCCTGGTGATTTCTCAGCTGAATGTTGTATGCTAGTTATTAGACAAGCAAACATTATCAACACAAAACCCAGTGTTACTCAGTGTCACCAAGAATTTTCAACCACTGATTCCTTACGTTTCGGGGACCCCAGCTAGGCAGCTAGTCTACATCTCTCCACACGACTCAAACCAACAGTTAGAGACTTCATCGACTGGTGCCACCTCTTGGTCTAGCCAGCCACCCTGAATCCTCTCCCAACCTAATCCAACTTCCCATAGCATGGCACGTCAAAGTAGGCGATAGCTGGGCACACGCAGTACATGTCTAAGCCATCTCAGTCGACTAAGGTTCACAACCTCACCAGTGTACTTGCATATCTTATCTAGTACCCTTCACCTGACTTTAGCATTGCTCACATGATGTTTCCACCACACACAAGCAATGCCAGGAAGGCACCTGTGGTCATAAACCTGTAATCACATTATAGGATACTGGACAAACATTTTTGAGTTCCACTTACCACTCTTCACACTAATATAGTGAGAGCAAGTCATTCAAAGGAGAGCTGAAAGACTGAAAATAATAGTACGCTTTATTCTTGATCACGGGTTTCCGACCACAGATTTCTACGTTATGGTTAGTCAGATTTTGTATGTCGTTGGAAGTGTGCAAGTGATTGGTATCGGCACCTGGGATTTTATTCCTGCAGGGTAAGTTAAAGGGTAGAAGTTTAATTCTACATGACGACAAAACCCAAAGCTCATTTACTAAAAACTAACCACTTCTGATCTTTCCAAAAGTTTTGGATTAAGATTCACCTCTTCTACCACCTGACAGGAAAAGCCGAAACTGCCTGAACTTGAAGGCCACAAGGCAGGGAGAATGTGCTATTTTGGGGGCTAGCCTTTTCTACTATTCATCTCACAGAGAAGACATCATCAGAATGAACTACTGGTCATCTAAGAGAAACACTTTGCCCAGACAGCGGAACAACTTGACCTTAGTATCCCGACCATAATGTAAACTGTTTACACTATGATGGTAGATACCTCTCTTTTGCCTTACTACTGTCTCTTGATTTCTCTGTACCTTTTGAAATATACAGTGGATGATACTGAATTCGGGCGTAAAGTGCTTAGCAGTAAAGACAAGTCAGTCGATGTGGTTGTAAACCTTCAGAGACTGATATGGCTAGAATATGTATTACGCATACTAAACCGTCGCCTACTTCTATGAGTTAGGTTGACTGAAATGGGTGATTGTAGCAGATGAAAAACACAACCGATTGAAAAAGCCTCTGACTAATGATTTGAGTCGTAATAACTAGAGTCTATAAAATGTTTGAAATCAATAGTTGAAAACCCTGTATATTATCTCATTGTATCATTTGAATTGCTAACTTTTTATGATTAATGTTCACGAGATTTTGATCAACCTTATTTTATTTCTATGTTGTGATATGTGCTACTTGAAAGGATACACTTATATGCAAGGTTTTATAAGGATTTGTTTATACTGTAGCTTAAATTCCAATTTTCACTATCTATTAATATCCTGATTTCTTGACTACTGTAAGATAAGTTCTTCAATGATAGGTGATAGTACCTTTTAAAAAAAGATTTTAGTGTACCCTTTAATTATTCAGTAGAAAAGTTAAGTGTGTTCATCTTCTTATGAATACCGAAAACCTTTATCAACCTTATTCAATAGCTATATGAAGACGCCACTTGCCAAGTGATTCACAATGGAAAGGTTAGTGACTCCTATGAATTGAAGACAGGAAAAAGTAAGACAAGGCTGCCGCCTACTATCACCGATCATCTTCCTGATTGTGGTGGACTGAATCATGCAACAAACAATGATGAGCGAGAATATGGGCATACTCTGGAGCAATGGGAACAGCCTAGAAGATTTGGATTTCCCCGATGACTTATCTCTGATGTCACACAAACTCGAAGATCTACAGGCAAAAACTAACAAGTTGACAGAAGAGGCAGCGAAAACGGGACTTCAAGTGAACGTAGAGAAGACAGATGACGAAGATACCCAACCAACAACAACAAGCTCCAATCACCATCAACGGGAGAAACCTAAAGAAAGTAGTCTCTTTCACCTATCCAGGAAGCATCGTCCCAACTACAGGTAGTGGCACAGACGAGGATCGGAAAGACAGCAAGACAGGCGTTCACTAACCTGAAAGCAATGTGGAGATCTGCTGCACTACACTCAGCATAAAGCGTGAACAACATCCAGACTTTCAACACCAATGTGAGTCAAGTCAGTGCTTCTATGTGATGGTTGAGAGACTTGGCGCGTTACGAGAGGCATTTCCAACAAACTACAGACATCATACATCAACAACTGCCTACGTTCATTCGATACTGAAGCTCAGATGGCCAGAATAATAAGAATAAGCAAGAAGGAACCCTGGCTGTCTGGCAACGAACCAATCAAGAACCTATCGCCCAATAAGTATGCAGAAGGAAGTTGAGATGGATTGGGCATACACTGAGAAAACCATTCGGGTACATCACGCGCCGGAGCAGGCACTCGAGTGGGACCTGTGTGGGAAACGGTGAGTTGGATGTCCGAGGTGAGGGTGAGATGGAGGAGATCGTATGGGGAAGAAATGAGAGCTTCTGGACAGTTGTGTAGCCAGGTTGAAAAGATTGCAGAGAACAGAGTTGAATGGAGACGTGCTACTGAAGCCATATATTCCACCAGGAACCCAAGGGACAAATAATAGTAATAATAATCTTCTTATGACCCATAACTAGATTTTTGAGAAAGGTTACAGTTCGATTTGTCCGCATCACTCTAAACAATTTTGAATTTTACCACCACAAGTTTTAAGCTACGGATTTAAGTTGTTTTCGGATTACAACAGGAAGACTTGCATTTCGCCTTATAGCTTTGAATAGTTACACAGTTGTTTTGGTCCCATAAACCTTCTGCTGCTTACTGTCTACCCGCCTCCAACACAACGCATTAATGTTAAGCAGTGGTTAGGTTTACGTAATATATATCATATCTACTTCATTCTTCCTATGATTGCAAGCAAATCATTCAATTTATCTTCTATATATGACAATATATTCAACTTTGAGTATTACTACCTTGTAGAATACTCAAAAGCCATGGGTAATCAATCCCTACAAACTTAATCACATCAAAAGGCAACATTCTAATTAGCTTTCTGAAATGTTATTACATTTTTGTATTCAACTGTGAAGATTGTTTTAAAAACAAGACTCTAAAACATAGTTTAGGCAGAAACTAGTAGTTTACTTTTAAATGTTATCTATTTGTGTTTATTTCATTGTAGATCACAAAGTTATGTTTGTAGTATATGTGGATCGATTAAAAATCTACTCCTACCATTAACAACTGCTTCTTCGTCAATGAATAAAGAGGCTAGTGAAGCTGCAGCTCAGATATCTATGATGGTAAACTACTTTTTCGTTTTAACTATTTCACAACCTATTAAAGGGAAGATCTTTTAAAAACTGAGGGTATCAAGGAATGGAGTAACCTTTGTGGTTTCTCACTCACTTGTGCACGCTGTTGAAACTAATATGTTGAACATTTTCAGTCCACCTTTGTAAATTGCATAAAAAGGTTTCCATTGGAATACTTATCATTTTATTATGATTTGACTAGCTAAGATAGCCGTAGTTTGGCAGACTAGTATTTATACTGGGTTTTGACTGAAGGGTGAGATGAAAATCTGAAGCGTGACTTGATTGGAACCAGTGACCAGATTTTCATCCATCACCCAGTACAAATACTAGTCTGCCAAGCTACGGCTATCTCAGATAGTCAAATCATAATCAATATGATGCTCTCCCTCTCTGATTCAGTTAGATTTGGCTTGGGATGAGAAGTCCGGAGTAGGCAACCAGTGTGAAAACTACGATCAAGCGGAAGTAACGCATCACGAATTTACATGGTAGTCGAGAAAAACACCGCTTGTGATTGAAGTGAAATAAAAACCTGGTCAGCAGTCAGACCTCGTAGCTCAGTTGGTAGATCATCTGGCCGGTAAACTAGTGGTGGCTGGTTCGAATCCGGTGGTGGTTCAGATTTTCATCTCACCTTCAATCATCATCCAGTACAAATACTTATTGTTTTGTTTGTGACTTGAAAGTTATTTCGGCTTCTCAACCTAGTGATTTAAGATCTTTCTTGCTCAGCTCCGTACTATGTCGAATCGAAAAAATCGAAATGCACTTAGCTACTTTGTATATATTGTTGCAGTAGGCAATGAGATACACACCTATTGTATAAGGACTATGTAATCCTCGGAAGGTAGAGCGCAGGGTACAAACCTATAACTCACTCCGTACTGTATTATGTACGGTTATCTTTTGTTTATCAGGTTTATATACATTCCGTGTATTTGGTACCAGTACAGTGTTAATATATTACCAAGTCGATATGCAGATATCTTACTTCAACTTTCTACTGGGTGATGATTGAAGATGAAATAAAAATTTGGACTGGCGCCGGATTCAAACTAGCAACCATCGGGTTTCTGACTCGACGCTCTACCAACACTGAGCTACGAGGTCTGACTACTGATCAGATGACCATGGGTTGTTCTTCTTGATTACCATGTGAATTCATGGTTCGTTACTACCACTTGATTGTATTCATACTGGATGCCTAGTCCGTACTTCCCATCCCAATGTAAGTCTAACTGAATTAGACAGGGGGAGCATCATATTGACTATCATTTTGACTACTATCTGAGATAACCGTGGGGTTTAGCGGACTAGTATTTATACTGGGTGATGGTGATGGTGTTTACTAATTTACATGCATGTCTGGGCACATAGGTGACAGATATCCATCTTCATCCACGGTGTCTGGGTGTCAATACTAGTCTGCCAAACTACGGCTATATCAGATAGTCAAAATGTTAACTTCCGACTTAACAAACAAATTGTTGAGTTAGTTTAACTACTCATTGTTAAAATGAGACCCTAAATTACTGAATAACAGCTCAAGTTGCCACACTTCATACCACTACATCAAAGCTAAAGCGAATAAGAGGGAAGAGAAAGGAATGGAAATAGCATAATCAACAGCTGTAGAAAGACATACTAGGGGTTAAAGCATATTGTGGAATGTTATAAAACGGCTAAGATGTATCTGCACCGCTGTGAATAATTCACAGTCATATCACCTAGTATAATCTCAATTAGTCTTTTTCTAAGTTAAACCTACTTCAGCTATTGATTTTACACCTTACCTGAAACCCTGCACCTAACCTCCATGTTTTTTCACATAGTGGCTCAATGATGGCCATCTGATCCTATAAAGGCATTATCTGTCGAACACATGAGGCCTCTTTATATCCTCCATCTTCAGTGGTCATGTACCATAGACCATAGGTTAGGATAGGCTGAACTACTGCCCATTATACTGGACCCTCGGTAGACAGACAAATATCTTACCGGCGTCGCAAAAAGTATAGGTTTGAAATAGCTAATGGAGTCGGTGTTCGCATCAACCCACCCAGGGTGATCAACGTATTCAACTAGGTGTCCACGAAAGCCATCCTTGAAGAGATGATATACATTTGGAAGATGAAAAACTCTTCTCAAATATCCTTAAATTGTCAGATAGCGTGTTTAGAAGATTTCCCAGCGTTTTCACTTTATAAGAATTTGTTATCTACCTACTCTGATTTGACTAAGAAGTCTTCTGTGAAGAATCCAATCCCTATGAAGTCACAGGAAGAAACAGACGTCTCCAGAAGCACATTCAGAGCTTCTTTGCTTAGTTCCTGGTTCCCTATGTTTTACTTTTTTCAAGATCATAGAATAGCAGTCAACTGAATATTTACCTCGAGTTCATCAACTTTGAAACGGCTTTCAGCAGCGTCGACCGACAAGTAATTTGGCAGGCAGCTACTTCAACACTACGGAACACCACGAACCTTTATCAATCTCATTCAACAACTATATGAAGACGCCACTTGCCAAGTGATTCACAATGGAAAGACCAGTGACGCCTTTGAAGTGAAAACAAGAGTAAGACAAGGCTATCTACTATCACCCATGATCTTCCTGATTGTAGTGGACTGGATCATGCAGCAAACCGTGAAGAGCGAAAAGACGGGCATACACTGGACTGATGAAAAGACCTTAGAAGATTTAGATTTCGCTGATGATTTGTATCTAATATCGCACAAACTCGAAGACCTACAGGCAAAAACTAACAAGTTGACAGAAAAGGCAGCGAAAACGGGATTTCAGGTGAACATAGAGAAGACAGAAGTGATGAAGATACGCAACCAACGCCACCACCAACAACAACAAGCCCCAATCACCATCAACGGGAGAAACCTAAAGGAAGTAGCCTCTTTCACCTATCTAGGAAGCATCGTTTCAACTACAGGCGGCGGCACACACGAGGACGTCAAAGCAATCCAGGATCGGAAAGACAGCAAGACAGGCGTTCACTAACCTGAAAGCAATGTGGAGATCTGCTGCACTACACTCAGCATAAAGCGTGAACAACATCCAGACTTTCAACATCAATGTGAGTCAAGTCAGTGCTTCTATGTGATGGTTGAGAGACTTGGCGCGTTACGAGAGGCATTTCAACAAACTACAGACATCATACATCAACAACTGCCTACGTTCATTCGATACTGAAGCTCAGATGGCCAGAATAATAAGAATAAGCAAGAAGGAACCCTGGCTGTCTGGCAACGAACCAATCAAGAACCTATCGCCCAATAAGTATGCAGAAGGAAGTTGAGATGGATTGGGCATACACTGAGAAAACCATTCGGGTACATCACGCGCCGGAGCAGGCACTCGAGTGGGACCTGTGTGGGAAACGGCGAGTTGGATGTCCGAGGTGAGGGTGAGACGGAGGAGATCGTATGGGGAAGAAATGAGAGCTTCTGGACAGTTGTGTAGCCAGGTTGAAAAGATTGCAGAGAACAGAGTTGAATGGAGACGTGCTACTGAAGCCGTATATCCCACCAGGTACCCAAGGAACAAATAATAATGTTTTACTTTTCCAAGATCGTCAGTCGTATTAAGTTACCAAACACCTCAACTGTAGTTTATTTGGACAGTTACTTTTAGTATTCTCATCATTCTAACAGTATTAACTGTGACACGTAACCGATACCTAGTGAAGGTTTATGTTTTAGGCTGGTTGTAAGTGAAACGTGAGATGTTTAGATAGAAGTATACTGAGTAGAGTTTGAACTTAAGTGAGTCTGTAACTTGGCACTTTGCATCAGTTTGTACTACATAAACGTTGAGTTGTATAATTAGAAATGTTCAAGTTATGCATGGTAGTGTTACTTCCCAGGAGTTCAAAATTGTCTCGCTGACCTTTTTTTCCATCAATCACTTTATTGATATATAGAGCTATACGCATTTGAGTCAGACCTGAGAACAATACTATTTACACCTATGTATCATGTTTGATAATGTATTAATGTATACTTCCTGAATTTATTTTTAGAGTGAAGAAGAGATTGCTGATAAAAAAGCATTGGAAAGTTAAATATCGATCAACTAAGCTGTTGTTTAGATGGGACATCAATTCAGTCGAATGTACCACCTGTAAATTTGAATACACCGTCAAAAATACCGACTACTACTACTACTGGTTTGCCTTCATCGACAACTCCCTCTGCATCTTCTGTCAATCAAGGGAATACTGTTAACCCTTCAGGATATGTAAATCCCTTTCTATGGCCAGGATTTTCACCGTATAATATATATCCTTCTAAGACTACTGATACAACACCTCAAATTGCCTATTGGTTATGTTTTCCTGTTTATTATCCTTTACCAATTTCTATGAATTCAAATCTACTGACAACTAATACAACTTCCACAAGTCAAACGTCATCATCATCATCATCCACAACAACAACTGAAGAACGTGTACCACTTAGTTTCAGTGAATGGTTAAAACAAATCAGAGAAGTGAGTTGAATGTTGTTGATGTTTAACTGGTTATTTTGTTTGCTTCATATCTCTTGGAGGGAGGTAGCTTGACTAACAGTCTAATCTAGTTCTGAGTAATTTCACTTTAAGTCATAAGGAAAGATCTACTCATCGATCAGATGAGCAGAAATCTGTGTATGTTTAGCATGCGTTTCGCTTGCACCTGCTAAATGTAAGATGAAGCTCCAGAACTGGTCTGCAACGACTCCGTGTTTAGTGATAAGGCGTGAAATGGTGGAATGGGTGGACCAATTCACCTGGTTACTGATTGAATCGCAGCTCGGATACAGAAGACCCATTCGGCATTTGCCAACTTGCATCACTTGTGGTACCGGTGAGATATCCGACTGCCAATCAAAGGACGAGTATACTACGTTTTAGTAGTCCGTTCTGCTCTGTTTTACAACTGTTAGAAATGACCGTTAAAAGTGGAATATATGAAGTGATTACACGGTTTCGATCACATGTATCTTCGTAGCAGTGTTTATATATGGCGGGATCACCGTGTGTTGAAGTCAGACGAAAGGTAATAAGCTTGACAAGCAAGTCGATTGAAGAGGTTGTGAACCTTAGTTGAATGATATGGCTTGGATAGCCACTGCACATGTCGAGCTACCGTCTACCTCGAAATGTCATGCAAGGGAAAGTTAGATTATAATGGAAGAGGGTTCATGGTGTTTAAACCAAGACTTAGCAACGGTCGATGAAGTCACTGATGTCTTTTTCGTCACAGTTTAGTACGTGTCATCAGTGCGCATCCACACGTCCTTACCAGGGAATCCAGTTGAGGACAGTCAGATCTCGTGACAAGCAGATTACCAATCAACTATCGGGCTGGGATCCTAAATAATAATAATCTGTAATTTCACTCTATTTTAATTTTCTTTACTTGTCTAACACTTTCATTTCCTTCTATTTGATATGGTTTTTCAAACTGTAACGACTGAATATAATTCATTAGTTAAGTAGCCTTACTAACGATAATAATATTAATACACTATTCAATACTGTTGTCATGATTGTAGTAAGTCTGTTAGCTTCGCCAAATAGGAAATGTTTATCATATGTGTGTGTGACTGTGGCTCACTGAGATAAGGAGATGACTTCCAACCAATAAGGTACGGGTTCGAGCCCTGTTCCACCTACTTAGGTTTGGGCTCATTGCGTACTGCATGAACGCACGTGTGATTGTTGAGTACATTTCAATTCGATTTGTGCATGTTTGTATGTGTCTCTCGATATGATTTTTACAGCATTCTTTGATCTAGAAGTTGAAGATATCTAATGAAGATTTCTGCGATCAACTCTTCTCCTCCGTAAGTATGGTATGTACTTTGCGCCACTGAAGTACAAAGTACTTTTGCAAGATTGGCAGGAGCTTGTGCCTAAGGTCACTCTTGGTGGTAAGCCGTTGAAAGTAGTCGAAAAGTTCGTGTATGTGAGTGGTTATGTGAATGCTGGTAAAATTTCCAACCGCATTTCGAAAGCCAGAGTTGCATCTGTCAATCTGGGCCGCCTTTGGCACCGTTGTGACTTTATTCTGACCGTAAAAGGTTGAGTTTAAAGTGCTTCAGTGCGAATAATTCAGCTCTACACCTGTGAAATCTGGCCTCACCGAGCTGAGGATGTAAGATGACTCTGTGTTCGATCATCGTTGTCCCCGCAGGATTGCTCGTATCCGTACGTACGTAATTCTGAGGTACGATAGGGTGTATTTCGGCATGATGGAGATCTTCATTTGGAAACACGGACTTCAGTGGCCTAGATATGTGTTACGCATGCCACCCCAATGGCTTCCACACTGTTTATTGTTTGCTAGCCCTAGTAATCGATGGCAGGAGCGGAGGAGTAGTCAGTGTATGACCTGGGATGAAGGACAGTTGTATCAGGTTAGCATCTGTTGGTGTATCACGACTCTTTGGGTGGCGTCCGACAGATCACACAACTCAGTGGCTCCAAAAGTTATCAAATGTGGCTCAGAACCGAAACCAGTGGTGGTTATGCTGTAGCTTCCTTCTATCTTCTCCAGCTGAAAAGTAATGAATATTTTGTTTCAAATTTACCTTAATTGACTGACCTTCTAATTATTCTATTTTTATTATATTTTATTTTTCTCCACTGCCCTTCGCTTATATCTTCATAATGTTGTTATTATTATTTTGTGTTCCGCATTTCTTAGTGCCCTAGTTGTACCATGTTTGTGTCCTAATAATAATAATAGTAATAATAATAATAATAATAACGATAATAGATAGATAGATAGATAGGATAGGATAGGATAGATAGATAGATTGCCTCCCAGTGAGTGATATTGTTCCTACCGGGATTCGAACTTGAGAGCGTTATCCACTACACCACCGCACGACGATAGCGATTTGTGCCACGGGTAGAGTTTTAGTGTTATTGCTTGCATTACACCGTTGTTGTTCGGACCGAATTGATCAGTCTCTGTTGGCATATTGGCTACTATGCGGAACCCTCTATACTGCTTGTGTTCTTAACTATATGGTAATGATGGATAGTGGCTAGCAGTGGAATCCAGGATGCGCAAGGAAAACTATACCCGTCTCACAAAAAGTGGCTATCATGGCTCGGTGGTGTAACGGATAACCCTCTCGCGTTTGAAGCGATCGCTCCTCAGTCAGAATCCCGGTGAGAACAACATCACTCACTGGGAGGCAAGTACATCCAGCTGACTAGGGAGTCCCAAATAGGATGAAATGCGCATCCTGGATTCCACTGCTCATCATTACTATACATAATTGAAACACAGGCAATATCGAGGTATCCGCACAGGAGCCCATATACCAACAGAGAGTGATCAATTCGGTCCAATCAACTACGGTGTAATACAAGCAATAACACTTACAATAATAATAATAGTGTCAAGAACTCAATGTAGCACGTGTAGTCTACATAAGTGGCAGATAACTAGTTTGAAAATTATCAAGAGAATGACAGAAATGTTCATCGTAATGAGCTAATTACGTTCACACATGACTTAATCATCTACAAAGATTGAATTATCATATTTAATCAGGTCAATAGATTTATCATCATATTCTATTAAAACTTTTGAATATATGAAGTAAAATAAAAATCTGGTCAGCCATCGAGTATCGTAGCTTAGCCTGTGGTAGTGCATCAGACCGAAAATCCAATGGTCATTGGTTCGAGTCCCGCCGCGATGGAAATCTTTATTCCACCTTTAATCATTACCCACTATCAATATGCTTACTCATAAAAGTGAAGATTTCACTCGACTTCACCTCATTGAAGATGATATCGAACAATGTTCTCATTGTTTAAACTGTTGATGCTATCAGGTGCAAAGAATTGTAATCCCCAGGATTGTTCATAGCTAAGACTTTGATTTGCGATCATGAATTACCATTTGAAGGTGGTAACTTTGACCTGACTTCAACTTTATTATGCATTAATTTCTTGTCTAGTGAGGTAAACGTAGTGCTGAACCTTGAACGGAAGTGCATTGACATATAGAATAGATTTTACATCCATTAAATATAATTCGATGCTCCAGTATGTATAGTTGCAATAAATAAGACCAGTTAGTCGTCAACGTTTATTGATTTAGACAGACAGACGAGATAAATATTGAACTTCGGATACTAATGCGTCGACTCAATTCCTTATGATAGTATACAAAGAAGAAATGGATGAAAAAGGAGTAATATCAAAGTGGACATAGGTGTATGAATGAGTAAGGAGTGAATAGATTTACACTACTGTGACCGATTATCAGCTATGTCACCAACAGTCATCAACCACAGATTCCTTTTTGTTTCGAGGACCCTAACCAAGCAGGCAGTCTATATCTTCTCACATGACTTAGGCCAACAGTCTGAGACTTTATTGACTGGTGTCACGTCTTGGTCTGGCCGGACACTCTGAAACCTTTTCCAACTTAACCAAACTTCCTCTAGCATGGCATGTCGAGGTGAGAAGTGGCTTGGCGTGAGTGGTGCATGTCCAAGCCATCTCAGTCCGTTAAGGTTCACAACTTTTTCAATCGACATGCCTGTCTTGCTTAGTATCCTTCGCCTAACGTCAACATTGTTCATACAGTGATCTAACTACACCCCGACAATGCTACGAAGACATCTATTGTCGAAAAACTAATTGTTTCATTTCGTCTACTTCTAACAGCTATGTCTTACAGTCGTACAACAGGACCGAACGGACTGCTACAGAGCAGTATATTCATCTTTTGATAGATACCTGGATATCTTCTCGACGCCATAAGCGACTCAAGTTGATAAATGCCAAATGAACCTTCGGGCTGATGCAACTCCCCAGGTAGGTGAAGTGGTTGACATATTCCACAACTTCACTCCCTATCATTAGGTACAGAGTCTTTGCAGACCAGTCTTGGAGCGTCATCTTACATTTGGTAGGTGCAAGCGAAACGCATGCCAAACATACACAGATTTCTGCTCCAGGTTTACAGAAGAACAGTACACCCTTTAGTCGTTGACAGGATAGCTTTTAATGACACTTTGTACTTTATTATTATTATTTATCCCTTTGGTTCCTAGTTGAACATACCGCTTCAGTAGTACGTCTCCATTCCATTCTCTTCTCTGCAATCTTTTGAACCTGCCTCCACGACTGCCCACAAGCTTTCATTTCTTCCTCACATGATCTCCTCCATCTCACCCTCACCTCGGACACCCAACTCGCCGTTTCCCCTTTGCATTACACCTAAGGGCCTGGCGCGTCATGTCTCCGAATAGTTTTCTCAGTGTATGCCCAATCCATCTCAACTTCCTTCCACTGAATATTTGTTCAGCGATAGGTTCTTGGTTGGTTCGTTGCCAGACAGCCAGAGTTCCTTCTTGCTTATTCTTATTATTCTGGCCATCTGAGCTTCAGTATCGAATGAACGTAGGCAGTTGTTGATGTATGATGTCTGTAGTTTGTTGGAAATGCCTCTGTTAACGCGCCAAGTCTCTCAACCATCACATAGAAGCACTGACTTGACTCACATTGGTGTTGAAAGTCTGGATGTTGTTCACGTTTCATGCTGAGTGCAGTGCAGCAGATCTCCACATTGCTTTCAGGTTAGTGAACGCCTGTCTTGCTGTCTTTCCGATCCTGGCTGGCTTTGACGTCCTCGTGTGTGCCGCCGCCGCCGCCTGCAGTTGGGACGATGCTTCCTAGATAGGTGAAAGAGGCTACTTCCTTTAATTTTTTCCCGTTGGTGGTGATTGGAGCTTGTTGTTGTTGTTGGTGGCTTTGGTTGGGTATCTTCATCACCTCTGTCTTCTCTACATTCACTTGAAGTCTCCTCTTCGCTGCCTCACCTCTTCTGCCAACTTGTTGGTTTATGCCTGTAGGTCTTCGAGTTTGTGCGACATTTGACACAAGTCATTGGTGGAATCCAAATCTTCTAGGCTGTTTCCATCGCTCCAGCGTATGCACATATTCTCGCTCCTCATTGTTTGCTGCATGATCCAGTTCACCACAATCAGGAAGATCATAAGTGATAGTAGACAGCCTTGTCTTACTGTATGAGAGCCTTCGACGCTTCCGGGGACACCATGATAACCACTTCCTCAGTTCGCTCATGGTTGTCGTCTGGGTGACCGGAGTAGACAGTTGGAGAGTCCACTTCCATTCCACCTGCTTTCGCAGATTCCTAGCACTTCTATGCAATACCTTCTACTCTCCTTCGCAATCTGGTAAATCTTGCTAGGTTGATGCATGGTGCGGACATTCCATGTCCCCATCCTTACTTTCACTTTCATCGAGAGAAGATACATCAGCTGACTGGCTTCCCGAAGGCCATCACCAATCGACGTCATTTCGTCTTTCCGATTCCAGCGAGGAATAATTTTTTTTATTATTTTTTTTATATTTTGTCTGTGCTTTGAAGTTTCTGTAGCGGTCGGATCGGTTTTCCGGTGTAGGGTTGCTAGCCCTATGCACAACCTTCCCTCTTTACCCGGGCTTAGGATCGGGTGGTAACTAGTGAACTAGTTAACCAGGCGAGCTTACTTTGTACATTACTGATGAAATATTAGAACCTTTCCACTGAAATATCAATTTGCACAATATGTTTCAGTTCCTCTTCTTCTTTATATCGTCTTTGTCTTAATGTGGCCACATCATATTTCGCGCTTTTTTGGGCAAAATATCGGTCGTAATTACTTATGACTTCTTCCGTTCACTCAACATATACTACTTATATACATTCTCGTCGGTAGCAAACACTGTTTATCTAAAAAAAGTGTCATTTGCACCGTACATTTTGAAAAATCTGATCACACAGATTTACTTGTTAAAACATGTTATGACATGAAAAATGGAAGTAGGGGGGGGGAGATAGGAAGGAAGGAAATTAACAAGAAGAAAGGTAATAAGATAACGCACGAAGAAGGCTTAAATTTGTGTATAACTAGTGACGTTATACAGCTATGAGATATGATCGTTAAAAGTAGACGACATGAAGCGGTTACAGAGTTTTGATTACAGATGTCTTTGTAGTATTGCTCGTGTTTGATGGAATCACCGTGTGAGCAATGGTGAGATCAAGCGAAGGGTAACAGACAAGTCGGATTGACAAGTTTATGAACTATAGTCGACCAAGGTGGCTTGGATATGTACTGCGCATGCCAAGCCCCCGCCTAAATCAACGTGGCATGCTAGGGTAAGTTGGATTAAGTCGGGAGAGAGTTCAAGGTGGCCAGGCAGACCGAGACATGGCACCAGTAGATGAAGTCCCTAACTGTTGGTCTAAGTCGTATAAAGAAGTGTAAACTACTTGGCTGGGGTTCTCAAAAAGAAAGAGTCAGTGGTTAAGGACTTTCAAAAAAACTCAGGTATACACCCTCTGACAGTTTCTCTATGCATTATTGTAGATTGTAGGCTACTTTCGTGGCCATGTTTCACCATCTTTAAGTGCGTATTTGCACACGCAGTATGATATAATGAAATCGTTTATACACTGTTGAGATCTCTGCTGCTACATGTGTTTCATATTCTCAACTACAATACGCCTAGCTGTATAGTATGTTTTACTGATAGCAAACTTTAGTATATTGATTGATTCAATTTGTGTCCTGATAGACGACCCTGCTACATCCTGTTTGATTAAATAATTACTATATCTATTCTTTGTCAATTAACAACATATATCAAAATCACGTGGACACTTTACTAATTAAATATGGAATCAATCGCGTGTAAAGTATGCTTTTTGAATTAGAAGTTACTTTGACTCTCTACTATGTTATGTAACATTTAGTAGTGTAATAATGATTAAAGATTTCTCGTATGCCTGAATAAACACTGATCAACTTGTAAATGGATTGTGTGGATCTAATGAAACTATATTCAATTATCCTCCAAGTCTTTACTGGTGTACATATACATATAAGTAGCCATCATCCCTGTTACTACAAACAGTATTGATGAGGTCACAGTAAACACTACTACTACTACCAATAATAATAGGAAACCCATCTGATTGAGAGAGAATATCAACCATATCATTATGTCTGAATCAGAGATGGATGTATTAAATATCAGAGTGGAAATACGCAGGAATCGATATGATTCATTTCCAGCTTCGGTAGGTTTGATAATTTTCAGTGTTTCATTTGTAATTTGAATAGAAAAGACCTACAAATCGTTTACCATTATTATTATGAGCGTCTAAATATCATCCGTAACATTCCAGAAGCATTATAAATGATGTTATAAGCGCGTTGATTACCATTTGACTATCTGAGATAGCGGCCGGATTAAAATTAGCGACCACCAGGTTACGGGCCCGATGAATCTACCAACTGAGCTAAGAGGTTCGACTGCTGAGCAGAATTTTATTTCATTTCAATCACTAAGGATGTTTTCCTTGACTACTATGTGAATTCGTGACGCGTTACTACCGCTTGATCATAGTATTCACACTGGTTGCCTAGTCAAGACTTCTTATCCCAATCTAAATCTAACTGGTGATTGCAGTAAAGTAAAAATCTGGTCATTAGTCGGACCTCGTAGCTCAATTGGCAGATCACCAGCCCTGTAATCCAGTGGTTGCTGGTTCGAATCCAGCGGCGGTTCAGATTTTTATCTCACCTTCAACCATCACCTAGTATATAACATTATTGTTGTGCTTCGTGGAAACAAAGAGTATAGAGTGTGAAGAATAAAAACTTTTAGTAACTCAACTGACTGAGTCATATCTCACACAAGTGTGGATTGGTTCAAGTTGTGTGAGTGATTAAATCATTGTGATGGATTTCTGTTGTCTCGGGGACCACAGTCAGACAGTTTACACTTCTTTACACGGTTAAGAATAAGAGTCATAGACTGGTGCTATATCTTTCAACTTCTACTAACACTGGATATGGAGGCAGTCGATGACTTAGGGTATGTCCAAGTCAACTGACTCGATAAAGATTCACAACCTCATCGAATAAAATCTCGCTTAACTTTGCTGTATACTGTTGGAGTGAGATAAGACCAAGAGAAGGAGATGGGGTTAAAAGTGGCCAGGTGTGGCATCAAATTTCAAGTCATAAAATAAAGATCTTCACAACTTTCATACTCCTCTTTGACCTAAGTTGGAAATGCACTTTTCATATGATCTTTCGCTTCGTTCAACCTATTTAAACTTTATACAGGAATTTGTATTCAACTTTTGATTAAAAAAAAGTTTCAAGTTATTATTCATTGTAGACTGACATCAATTGGAGAGGAACAAACGAAACCTAAGAGAACTGGACAGCTATTTCATCAGACTAAGTATGGAACTCCTCTGCAGTGCGCACCCATGACCTCGCCAGGGATCGAACCCGCGACCTTCGGGTTCTGTAGCCAGCATGCTAACATCCAGGTAGTCACTGGGTCAGAATCCAATCGTCCATATTTCCAACTTCTGTTAGCTCACAATATAGCGCAACCGCCACCCAATATCATCGTTGAGTAACTATCCTCACCGCCATTAGGCTTGCCCCCCCCCCTCCCAATGCTCTCAGGTCTCCTTTCTTCCCCCAACTTATGTCAGTCTACAATGAATAACAACTTGAAATATTTCCAGATCGCCATAACTCCTTCAAAAAGAAAGTTAACAAGTGAATGTTACCTCTCTTTTTTCACTTTTTTTAATTTCTTGATTATCAGAAGGAGAAGAAAACTGAAAATATATCTACTATGAATACAGTATCTGGTGTAGAATTATCTCAACCACAAGAAGTGAGTTATAAGTCAGAACACTATCATAATCATCATAGTTCTTATAGTATTGTTGATACATATGAAAGTAATGTGAAAAACCATGAAAAAACAATTTCTGAAGTATTCTCTACACAAAAAACTGAAACACTGACCCTTTCAGCTGATAATTGTACTGTTCAATGTATTCCAAGTTTACCACATACTACTACTACTAGTAGTAGTAGTAGTAGTAGTACTGATCACCTTCAAGATATTCATAAAAATGATTCAATCAACTCACAAATAGAAGGGAATTTACCAATTTCAAATGATATAGAAATTATTTCATCTAATTCATCTATACTACTAACAAATAACAAATTATTATCTCATCAAAAGGATATAATTAAAACTGAAGATGTAAATATTGATATTCCAGTGCAAAAGAATGAAACTCTCTTAGAATTAAAATATGATGATAAAGTAGTATGCGCTGAAGGTGGCGGTGTCAGCGATAGCATTATCACCGTTGACGATAATACCACTGAAACACTTGATATGAATATTGATATATCTCAACTAGAAGAGATATCTGATAATCTAGATAATAGAAAAAGATATACTACTCATAATGATGCTACTATAAAATCTATTAGTAGTATGAATGAATCACTTGAAATAATTGATAATTGTAGAAAATATCATGAATATGATACAATAACAAAGTTGAAACTGAATAAAAATGAAACAAGTAAAGTATTTGTTAAAGATATAGACAGTGATAATGGTGAATTATCCAATAGAAATGATTTATTTTCTAATAGTCTGAATAATAATCGTCCAGTTAACCTGAATAATGAATACACTTCAATAATTTATTCAATGAACAGAAGGAGAACGTCTATTATTCCATATAATACTGTTATTATTTGTGCTATTGGTGTAGCGATTGCTTTATTTCTAATTGTTGTACGTCGATTAGTACTGATGTTACATGACACTTAAGAAAAAAAATTCCTTCCCCCTCCCCTACCCCTTAACTCTGTTTAGATACTTATCTCTGTCTTTCCCCCCCCCTCTCTCTCCGTTTCTTGTCAAGACCAATCAAGGAGTAATTCCATTGACTCTTTCGCTGCCTACTGTGTATACATAGAAACAGTAACGACAATACAAATTGATCTATTCAGTAACTTTTAATCTCTTGTTTATTGTTTTCTTTGACCGCGTTTTTAGTTAGCTTTAGGTCCCTTTTGCTATTTCCTTATTTTTTCTTCGAAAAAAAAGGGAACAAAGAAAGAAGTAAATATTCATTTTTTTTTCTGATTGTTGTTGAATGAAATGAGTTATAAAATTTTAGTTCAAAAGATTGGAGTTAGATAGTAAACAAATGTTATGATGAACCCATAGCCCCCAGTATAACTGTTGTGCCCCGCTATTGCCGGTGAAGATGCTCGGAGATTATACAGATAGCGCGCTGTTTAAGATAATCTTATTGATTGGCTAATTCACCGCTTGCTTGTCAGGTTAACTGTAGAAGTGATAACATAAAATATATTTCGAATGACCCGTCTCCAGACTAGTCATTATTCTCTATCCCTATATCGCCTACCTCTTTGAAAGAATGCTATCTACGGTCAGACTGGATCGCACTGTCTTTTTTTGCATCTATCTGACCAACGCGAAGGAATCAGTTGTCTTCTTGATATTTTTTCGGTGGGTAGGTGCATGAAGATGAAAATTACCTATCAAGAATGAGATCTGCGGTGGTATCTACAGAATGGTCTTTGTACACATCGTAGTTTGTGTTTTCGGTAAAATCCATCCTTATTGCCCGTAGCATTACAGTCCTGGCATCGATGTTACTTAGGCGGACAAGATTTGACGAAATGTCAGGGACCGCAAGGGGTGTCTTCATCGAGGTGTTGTATGAGTTACTGGGCCGATGAACAGGCGAGATAAGGCTAGAGGGTAATGCGGAGGAATGCGATGTCTGGTGAACTGTTTATGCTTCAGAATGACCTTGGGATTCGGATTTGGCTAAACTCGCATCACGCTGGAGTCTACCCAATCGTTGGTATTCTGCAAACATATCATTCAGTGTCTGCACTGTGGCATCGGAAGTGCGATCACGTGGGTTTTGCGGCGAAATCATGTTGCAGCAGTGATCGAGCTCGGGTGGACCAAGCTTTTGATGATATGGGGATAAAGATATATGACTAGTCTGGAGAGCGACCAATCAAAATGTACTTTTTGTTATCACTTCTACATGTAAGCAGATAGACGGTCGATCGGCCAATCAATAGGGTTGAAACAGCGAACTATCAATATACCTTCAGTCTTTCACCCCCCCCAATACACGTCCATCGTGTCTTCTTTATGAATTAGTTGGGTCAGGAATCAACTAGAAATTTGTTGAACGTTGGTGGCTGACATTCGATATCCGTGCATCGTTAATGGCCATAGCACATTTCAGTTTTCAAAAGACAACGGAAAATTTCTAGTGTCGAACAACATTTTAATAATTACTGAGAACTTGTTGTGATGGTTGCACAGAAATGCTGAGCAATAACAATCGTTCGCCCGATACTCATTCTTACGATATATGAATTTACTCTGTAAAGTGAGTGTCATTGGTTCACTGAATTGATAGTCAAATAATCCCATCAATCATGATAAAAGTGGGAAAGGAGTAAATCTCAACTGAGAATAAGAAATTGCTTTACATGAAAATACAATTTTTAGAGGAAAATCATCATGCAAGATATTGTTTCGAAAGTGTGGAAAATCGCAGCTGATGTTTGTTTTTTGCCCACACCCAGTTGTGTTACTGAGATTGAAAAAATTTATTTGCTCCTGTGAAGCGAATTTTAGATTGGCCTGTTTTCGTGAACATCTCCTAGTATGAGAAAATAGAGGTGTAGTGAAAAATGTCAGCAACACACTACACAGCAATTTAGTCTCTGTGAAGGATGAGATCCCTCTAGATTCACAATCTAATTGTACTTATAAAACAAAACGCCCAGATTGGAGTACAATATACATAGGACAAACTTCACATGAAGTCAAAGTTAGAAAAAGAACAACGAAAAGGTTCCACTCGATCCCTTAGAAATCCAGTAGAGATGGGAAAAGCTTGGAAATGCTTCAGGCATAGCTCTAAACTACTATAATTTCAGGTCACATAAAATCGACTTTGTCAATGTCGAAATTATTCAGAAAGGAAACCTGGGAGCACTGAACAACTGCTTCGTCAAACTAGTATGGGACTCCTGAGCAGTGCGCACCCACGACCACGCCCTCCGTGGACCGAACCGTCCACCTTCAGGTTCTGTGGCCAGCACGTTACCATTGGGCTAGCCACTGAGTCAGAATCCAATGGTCCATATTTCCAACTTCTGTCAGCTCACGATATAACGCAACCGCCACCCAATGTCACCGTTGAGTAACTGTCCTCACGACCATCAGGGTTTTCCCCCACCGGTCACGACTTCTCATTGGAACTTCGGGAATACCTCTCAAAGCTACTCTCTAGTGAGTACTAGTTCAATTGAATTTTGAGGGAGTTGTGGGAATTTGGAAATATTTCAAGTTGTTATTCATCGTAGACCGATATCCGTTGGAGGAACAAAGGAAACCTGGGATTGAACCCGCGGCCTTCAGGTTCCGTGGCCAGCACGTTACCAGTGGGTCAGAATCCAATCGTCCATATTTCCAACTTCTGTATATCGTGAGCTAACAGAAGTGCCATACTAGGACGAGACAGCTGTCCAGTGCTTCTAGGTTTCCTTTGTTCCTCCTAACTGATGTCAGTCTACGATGAATAACAACTTGAAATATTTCCAAATCCCCACAACTCCCTCAATATTCAGAAAGGCTTTAAAAAGTTATAAGAAAGAAAGGCTTTTCTCTTCTCGGAATCGAAGTCGTTGTTTTAACCCCCCCCCTCCCCGCTCTTCCTCGCATCATGATATGACCAACACACGAGCACATGTCTATATACAAACCTAAGTATGTAATTCACACACTTAATACACCACATATAATCATTTTTGTCGACAGTCTGACAACGGAAAGTCATTTGTCCAGAAAAACTCAAGCTTGGATATTGTAAAATTCGGTTTACTATAACTTTGATAAAACTGTTGACACTCTATATAGCTAAACGTCAGATGAAACAGATTTACTTTGTTTCGTTTTAACTATCTGAGTGAGATAGTCATGGTTTGGCAGATTAGTATTGATACTGGATGGTGAGTGAAGGTGAAATGGAAATTTAGATCGCCTCTGGATTCGAACCAGTTACAACCGGGTTTCCGGCCCGATGAAAACCTGGTCAGCAATCGGACCTCGTAGCTCATTTGGTACAACATCGGACTAGAAACCCGGTGGTAGATGATTCATATTTGTTGAGAAGTACAAATACCGAAAAAAGAATGTAATTTACCCAAATGATTTCTAACTATCAAATCCCAACTTGGTTTGGATATCCATAATCATTTGTGTATCCCTTATATTGACTAGCAAAGAAATCTAAGACACACATCTCGTCCTATTTGAGATGCGTCAGCTGGATGTACTTGCACCCCCACTGTGGCATGATAGCCACCTCTTATTATGACACCTAGTGGATAACGTTGTGGAGTTTGAAGCGATAGATACTGGGTCCGAGCATCAGTAGGAACAACATCACTGGGCACTGAGGTGCAGGTATATTCAGCTGACTAGTCCCAAATAAGACGAAACGCCTGTCCTGTACTCCTCTGCTAGTCACCGAGATCAATATAGCATCATGAATATCCAGCAGTACCGAGGCATCCGCATATGAGCCCATCTGCCAACAGAGAGAAGTCGAGCGATTCGGCCGTGTGTATCAACGGGCAACTACATGTACCATAACAACAACAACTGTGCATCCTTTATTAATCAAAAAGGCAACGGACACCGTGACTAGCGGCAACCTGAAAATAGTTTAGTTGTTTCTCATCACTGAAAAGTAAATGCCCCATGACTGCTTTGTCTTGTTGCCTAGCGTTAGAATAGGGAGATTAATGGTTGTGCATGTCAACCACTTTACTTATATGAGAAGTCGAGTCGATGTCTACTCAACCTGATGGACATTTTCATGAAGTAGGCAATGGTTCACACTGACCTGGCTGGCGAGACTAGGATGAGCCAGTGATTAACGAATTCCCTGCCCTGGTAAGAAAAATTCATTTGGTTTTTACCGACTCCCACCAATTACGGCACCGCTGCGATATTCGATGGCCTATCAATAGTCAAGTGCTGTGCTACAATTTGCTCTGTTCTACTCTATGGATGTGGAACATGAAAACTGAAAGTGTTTCGTAAAAATCAGATGTAGAGCTTTAGGCAGAATATCTAAGTCAGCTAAGGAAGTTGTAAATCTTCATCGACTCAAGTGGCTGGAACGCATGTCTAGTCACCGTCGCACGAAATCCAGGTGACTTGCCTCGGAATTGGTTGTCTTGAGGATCCTCACTAAGTGGCCTACGCTTACCTACACGACTGAGACCAGTAGTCAAAGACTGGCGCCATACCTTGGTCTTGAGACTCTTAGCATTCTTCTGAATTAATTTTATTTCGACTGAAATGGCTCGTTGAAGAGGATGATGGTCTCGTATACACACACTTCAAACCCATTTCATATTGATGAAGATCTACAGTCTTAATAACTGGTTTGTCTTTCTTACCACCTACTACTACTCTCTACCTCACCTCAACACTTCACATAGTGATTTCACCAAATATGAGCAACGTTAAAAAGATACCTATAGTCGAAAACCTGGATTCCCATTATAATTTCGACGGCCCTAAAACACAACCGTATGTCAGGCTGCTGCACTATGTATGTTGTCGGATGTGCCGCTAGCATCACATATACGTAGGTTAGTAAACGCCAATTTTGTATCCGAGTCTGAGATGTCAGCAACCATTCTATTCGGGCTGATCTTACTCCAAACGTATTCAGTCACTTCACTCTCTAT